GGGGAAGGGGTGGGGGGAAGGGGTGGGGGGAAGGGGTGGTGGAAGGGGTGGTGGTGGGGGGGAGTGGTGGTGGGGGAGGGAGTGGTGGTGGGGGGGATGGGTGGGGGGGGTGGGGGGGGAAGGGGTGATGGTGGGGGGGGGTGGCGATTGTCTGAACTCGATCCTGGGACTCCCCTAAGTCGACTCAGCCTCAAATGAGTACCTGGTGCGGTGTGCAAACATCGCCACTGGGGAGACAAAGGCGGCCGGGCGTGGTGCTGGCCATCCACCCCCTCGTGTACCACAGTGCCGGCCTTCATAGGTGCTGCTCGCTAACAGCACTTGCCCCTACAGTCTGTTGAGGCTACACGGGGGGCCTTTGTTTTTGCGTGTGAATGTGCTTTTTGGTATATCGGCTGCTTGATCAGCTGCCCTTTGACATTCGCTATCAGCCCTGAAACACACCGTAGGTGAATATTAAAATAAAATAAACTCCACGTTCTTTCACTCCCCCCCTCCCCCGTAAAGTCACGTAGAAGGGAAGTAATAAAATAATAAAAATAAAACATAATAAAATAATTCTCACGACGTTTCGGCTACAACGCAAGCAGCCGTCTTCAGGTGAAGAATTAGACACTGCCAAGCTTGGAGCTTATATATAAGCTGGGTTGGAGGTGGAAGAAGAAGAGCGCCTTAACAAAAGAATGTGCACATCAAGAGGAATTTAGCATATTCATGGGAAATGCGTAGGAGGTGGGCAGGGGGGTTTCAAAGTCATATTATGCCCATGCATTATGCAGGATCAGCAGCACCAAGGGAGGGTGCAGGGAGTAGCATTAACAAAGGAAAGGAATGTTAATAGTATGTAGCTGCAGTTACTAAACAACCACGTAAGAAACTAAAGTATAAACTACATAAAAAAAACTAAAGTATAAACTGCATAGCATCATCAGTATACTTACTATACTCTACAATAAGCTGAGTTACTAACAGCAAGTAATACATTACAATTCTACTGCAGTCACGAAAGCTTTAAATCGAAACGCAGACACCACCAACTGCGCTACTCAGGGGCATTCGAATTACGAATTTGCAGAGATACGGAAGAACGTGTTGGTTGGGTGTGTCCACGTTTTTCCCGTTTGGCAACGATATATTCAGTACGTGCGAGCGAGACCACTTGGATGGATGAACTCACCGCGATAATCTTTGGGTCTAGAGACTGGACCAATCAACTTCAAGGACAGTGCATATCATTATCACAGTTATGTTTTTTGTTTGCATTCCATCAATGCAAACATGACTCCTTGTTAAAAAAGGTGTCAGTTTTGTTGCCAGATAAAAGGGTAAAAAAACAATTATCATATTTTGCTACTGGCAAAGGAGGTTCCAATGGTGTAAATGCTTCACCCCGAGCTCTCATACTCTGATGGTGCGTTGTCTTTGAGTTGTGCGCCTTTTGGCGTCATCTGGTCCAACACCATGTGAGACTAGGCTCTAAGGAAAGCTGTCTCGGGTGTGGACCAATCAACTTCAAGGACACTGCATACATTGTCAGAGTTATGTTTTTTGTTTGCATTATGACTGCTTGTGTTGTGGTTATTGCAAACATGATGCCTTGTATAAAGGTGTCAGTTATTGTACCAGTTGAAAGGGTAAAAACCTACTACTATATTTTGACACTGGTAAAGGAGTGTCTCATAGTGTAAATGCTTACCCCGAACTCTCAATACTCTGATAGTGCGCTGTTTTTGAGTTGTGCGCCTTTTGGCGTCATCTGGTTCAACACCAATGGAGACTAGGCTCTAAGGAAAGCTGTCTCGGGTGTGGACCAATCAACTTCAAGGACAGTGCATATCATCATCAAAGTTATGTTTTTTGTTTGCATTGACTGCAGGTATTGTGGTCTATGCAAACATGACTCCTCGTAAAAAAGAGTAGTCTGTTTTTTTTTTTGCCAGATAAAAGGGTAAAAAAAACAATTATCATATTTTTTACTGGCAAATGAGGTTCCAATGGTGCAAATTTGGGTCTTTCGGTAAAAGTCACAAGGAGTGAGGTTCAAATTAATAAAAAAATAAAATCGACAAAAATAACCCGACTTTATTAATTTTGACTTTAAACTTTGGTGACCGCAGGGAATTCGTTTCCGTGGTTCTTTCGGTAAAGTCACGTAGATAGAAAATAAAAAATAAAATTAAAATAAAAAATCAGGAAGTAAAATGATATTTTAATTAAAATTTTAAATAATAAATTGCTTTTATTATAATAAATAGATTTTATTCGAAATATAATTGCTTTCATTAAAAGCAATAAATAGATTTTATTATAATAAATAGATTTTATTACAATTATAATTGCTTTCATTAAAAGTAAGAAATGTATTTTATTATTTTAAATGTATTATTTTTAATTTACATTTTATTTTCTACCTCCGTGACTTCACCGAAAGAACCAAGAATACTTTATTTAATGTTTTATTCATTTGAACTTTACCGAGAGACCCAAAGAATATGAATTCATGCAGTCACGAAAGCTTTCAGTCACAGATTGAACTCACCACTACCCATCAGCACCAACAGCGTCTCTCACAAACGTTCAAGAGTGGGGGGGGGGATGGGGTGGGATGTGTCCAGAACCACGCCCGACCGCCTTTGTCTCCCCAGCGGCGATGATTTCACGCACACAACCAAGCACTCATTTGAGGGCTGAGTCGACCTAGGGGAGGCCCGCTCAGATAATCGTCACCGGTCTTGGCCCTGTGCGGGAATCGAACTCAGGTGGCCGGGTTCGTAGCGTAGCGCTAACCGTTGCGCCACCGCTCCCCGCTAACACTAACACACAAAGATCCCCCGTGTAGCCTCTAACAGACCGTTGGGGCAAGTGCTGTTTGTAGCGAGGAGCAGCAGCAGCAGCGCCTATGAAGGCTACCGGCACTGTGGCATGCAGAGAGGGAGTCGGTGGCGATGTTTACTACACACCGCACTAAGTAACTCATTTGAGGCTGAGTCGACCGAGGGGAGGCACAGGAGCGGTTCAGATGAATCGTCACTGGTGTTGGCCGTGAGCGGTTGGTGAGTTGGTGGGTGAGTAGGTGGGTGGATCAGTGAGTGGGTGAGTAGGGGGTGGGTCAGTGATTGGGTGAGTGGGTGGGTGAGTAGGGGGTGGGTCAGTGAGTGGGTGAGTGGGTGGGTTGGCGAGTGAGTGAGTGGGTAGGTGAGTGGGTGGGTGAGTAGGTGAGTGGGTCAGTGAGTGGGTTGATGAGTGAGTGGGTAGGTGAGTGGGTGAGTGAGTGATCGAGTGGGTGAGTGAGTGGGTAGGTGAGTGGGTGAGTGAGTGATCGAGTGGGTGAGTGAGTGGGTAGGTGAGTGGGTGAGTGAGTGATCGAGTGGGTGAGTGAGTGGGTAGGTGAGTGAGTGAGTGAGTGATCGAGTGGGTGAGTGAGTGGGTAGGTGAGTGAGTGAGTGAGTGATCGAGTGGGTCAGTGAGTGGGTGAGTTGGTGGGTGAGTAGGTGGGTGGATCAGTGAGTGAGTGGGTGGGTTAGTGAGTGGGTGGGTTAGTGAGTGAGTGGGCGGGTAGGTGAGTAGGTGATCGAGTGGGTGAGTGGGTTGGAAAGTTTGTTGGTGAGTGGGTGAGTTGGTGGGTGAGTAGGTGAGTGAGTGGGTGAGTGAGTGATCGGTTGGGTGGGTGAGTTGGTAGGTGAGTGGGTGGGTAGGCGAGTGGGTGTATCAGCAACTTATCAACTCTCAAAGCAATGGGAAAGACAAAACCCCATCCCCCCTACCCACCACGTGACTCACTCCACTCGCCGTTCCTCCGGCACAGGAAGAGTCTCTGACGCACGTTCAGTCGCCTGCCCCCCCCCCACTCTCCCTCTCTCTCACGGCTGAGAGGGGACACGGCTGAGAGGGGACACGGGGGGGAGGGAGACACGGGGGGGGAGGGAGACACGGGAGGGAGGGAGAGGAGACACGGGAGGGAGGAAAGGTACAGACTGCCCTCACAGACTTTCGTAACTTTCATTCCTACGCGGGTGGCTCTCCCTCCCACCCCTCCTCCCCCACCCCTCCCACCCCTCCCCCCCCACCCCACTACACTATACACTACACTGTACACTACACTATACACTACACTATACACTACACTATACACTACACTATACACTACACTATACACTACAATACACACTACACTATACACTACACTATACACTACACTATACACTACACACTACACTGTATACTATACTATACACTACACTATATACTACACTATACGCTACACTATACACTACACTATACACTTCTATACACTACACTATACACTACACTACTATACACTATACTATACACTACACTATACACTACACTATACTATACACTACACTATACACTACACTATACACTACACTATACACTACACTATACACTACACTATACACTACACTACACACTACACTATACACTACACTACACACTGCACTATACACTATACACTACACTACTATACACTACACTACTATACACTTCACTATACACTACACTACTACATACCTGTCAACCCCTTATCAGTGCCCTCTACCTCATTACAGACCAACTCAGACCCTCCTGGTCACCCCGTGCCCTCTACAAATCTCAACGTTCACCCCACAAAGTCCCATCGCAAGGGAGAATCACAATCAAACAGACACCATTTGTTGTTTTTTTCTTCTTGGTTCTTTCGGTAAAGTCACGTAGAAGGGAAGCAATAAAATAATAAAAATAAAACATAATAAAATTATTCTCACGACGTTTCGGCCACAACGCAAGCAGCCGTCCTCAGGTGAAGACCAGGTCCGTCGAGGCGACAGAGTCTGAAGGACTCTGTCGCCTGGTTTTCACCTGAGGACGGCTGCTTGCGTTGTGGCCGAAACGTCGTGAGAATAATTTTATTACGTTTTATTTTTATTATTTTATTGCTTCCCTTCTACGTGACTTTACCGAAAGAACCAAGAAGATGAATCCCTGCAGTCACGAAAGCTTTAAATCAAAACCATCTGTTGTGTCCCGTATTGAAACGGCTGTACAGGCCGCGTGGACTTGAAAACTTCAATTTCCCCCGTACAAGACTACAGGGTGAACCGTGTGGGTTGACACGGCATGCACTCACGCCACCGCGTTTCCACCCTCCCACCCCTCCCCCGCAGATGCCGCACGGCTGGATTTACCGATCCCACTTCTGCCAGCGTCCCGGTGCGGATGGCTTCGACCACGTGGAGACATCAGCATCGTCGTCGTCATCAACATCATCATCATCAGCATGCTGCCAGGCTCCGAGCGTTCTTCGCATCCAGGCCTAGTGTGGTCGCTGCGTCGGCGGTACGAGCAGCTCGGCACGTGCACCGCCCCGGCTGCTCCCGGTGACGCCGCGGGGGTGAACGCCCGTCCCAAGGTCCCTCGCGAGGTGCCAGCGAGAGGTGGAGGTGGACGTGGCGACACCGGCCGTGAAGGGAACGCCGGCGTGGCAGACTCAGCCGAGCCGCTGGGATTTCCACGGCGGATCGGGGCTCCGGATCGCCGCTGCCTCGGGCATCCGGCGGATCGTTGCCGGCGCCTTGAAGATTGTCATCGCGGCGACCGTTTCCCACCGAGCGGACCTTGCCGCGGGCCGGACATGAAGGCCGGCGGCCCGCCGCGCAGCGCGCTGTGGGGGACGGCGGGATGTGGAGCGGCGACGGCCGCTGACGACAAGAAGGCCGAGCCGCCGGTCGCGACGGCCGCGGAAGACGACGAGAAGTGGCGGCCCTCGAAGGCTCCGCCGGGCCCAAGAGCGGCCTACCTGAGGCCCGCCCTCAGGCCCAAGCCTGCGCAGCTGCCGGAGGCCGCGGCGGTCAACGCCAAGGGTGGGCCTAAGCGCACTCACCGGGCAAAGGCGCGTGGGGAAGAGTGGGGGGGGGGGGGGGTAGCTCTAAGGGAGGCCCCCCCCACCTCCAAATATGCGGCCTTGTCAGATGTCAGAAATCTCGAAACGCATAAATACGGGGGAATTCATCTATTTCTCTCTCTGATCTCCAAAACATCTCTGTCTGATCTCCACCTCATCTCCATCTCTCTCTCTGATCTCCACGACATCTCTGCCTCTCTCTCATCTCACTACATCTCTGCCTATAACTCTCTGTCATTTGACTACATCTCTGGTCGACAGACCTATTCTGTCTTGTCGACAAGACAGAGAATGTCATTCAGACTGTCTTCTCGACAGACCTATTCTCCACCTGAGGACGGCTGCTTGCGTTGTGGCCGAAACGTCGTGAGAATTATTTTATCATGTTTTAATTTAATTATTTCCATTCTACGTGATGACTTTACCGAAAGAACCAAGAAGATGAATCCCTGCAGTCACGAAAGCTTTAAATCGAAATTTAATTACTTTATCATGTTTTATTTTTATTATTTCATTACTTCCATTCTACGTGACTTTACCGAAAGAACCAAGAAGATGAATCCCTGCAGTCACGAAAGCTTTAAATCGAAATTTAAGCTTTGAACTGTTCCGTACTAAGATGGGGCACTGATAATCAGCGGTTGACACCTTTGCCACCGCCACCGTCATCCATAACCCTTCTACTGATGACGACGATTTCCCCCCCTGCCCCCACTCCCTCCACCTCCCCGCAGCTCCTCCGGAGACGACGACCCGGGACAACGCCCCCCGGAAGTCCTCGTTCATGTTCGACGGATTCCCGTCCCCCTGCCGGGCGCCCTGCCGCGCCGCTCTCCCCTCGCTAGGCCCACAGCCTGCCGGCGGGCCCACCCGGCGCGACGGCGCTCGGCCCTGCCGCGGGCTCCGGCGCGGACCGTCGGACGAGGCTGACCGGGCCGGCCACGGCACGGGGACGATTGCGAACGGCCCGGATGATGATGATGAGGAGGAGGACGCGGAAGAGGAGGAGGTGGAAGAGGAGAGGCTTAAGGGCCCCGGCGGGGCAACTGGGCCTCTGGCCAAGCCGCCGAGGTCGCTGGCCCTGAGGGGACGCGTGACGGTGGCCGACACCAAAGTTGGGCACGACGCGTCGCCCTCATCATCATCCTCCTCCTCCTCGTGCTGCACGGTTTCCTCGCTCTCCTCGCTCTCGGCGACGTCATCGTCGACGTCATCGTCGGCGTCACCGGCGGCGTCATCGGCGGCGTCATCGGCGGCCGTGGCAACAGCAGAAGGGCCGTCGGTGATGTCATCATCATCATCATCAGCAGCAGCAGCAGCGGTCTCAATAGCAGCGACTTCGGCGCCAAAGTCCTTGTCGTCGTCGTCGGCGTCATCGTCAGTGTCAGCATCAGCAGCGGCATCATCAGCAGCGGCAGCAGCATCAATAGCAACAACCTCAAATGGAGCATCTTCAAAATCATCGTCATCGTCGTCTTCGTCAACTATGGCGTCAGCTACGGCATCAGCAGCGGCCGCAATATCAGCATCATCAGCAGCGGCAGCCTCAAGATCATCATCATCAGCAGCAGCCTCAATATCAGCATCATCAGCAGCGGCAGCGGCCTCAATATCATCATCATCATCATCAGCAGCAGCAGCAGCGGCCTCAAGATCATCATCATCATCATCAGCAGCAGCAGCAGCAGCGGCCTCAAGATCATCATCATCAGCAGCAGCAGCAGCAGCAGCCTCAATATCAGCATCATCAGCAGCAGCAGCGGCCTCAAGATCATCATCATCATCATCAGCAGCAGCAGCCTCAAGATCATCATCATCATCAGCAGCAGCAGCGGCGGCGGCAGCCTCAATATCAACATCAGCAACAGCGGCCTCAATATCATCATCATCAGCGGCAGCAGCAGCAGCAACCTCCTCCTCCTCTTCATCATCGTCGTCATCCTCCTCCTCCTCATCCTCCACCACCTCGTCGCGTTGCCGTGGCGACGCCGCGTTCGACGAGGTGAGCGCCACCGTGCGCCTGCCCCGGGTGACCTCGGCTGCCGAGAGGGCGCGCAGGTTGGCCGGGGTGAGGGTCGCGGGGGTCAACCACGTTGGGGTCAACAGCAAGGTCAACAACGTGGCGGGGGTCAACAACGTTGGGGTCAACAGCGACGTCAAGGTCAACAACGTGGCCAGGGTCAACAACGTGGCAGGGGTCAACAGCAACTTCAAGGTCAACAACGTGGCAGGGGTCAACAGCGACATCAAGGTCAACAACGTGGCGGGGGTCAATGACGTTGCGGTCAACGACGACGACGGGGTCAATGACGCAGAGGTCAACAACGTTGCAGGGGTCAATGTGAGCCCAGCGAGGAGGAGACCTCGAAGGACGAGCATCGACCGAAGTCGTCTGCCGCCTCCTCCACCTCCTCCTCCTGGGACTCCTCCGTCCAGCGTCACCTCGTCGCCCGTCACCGCCAACCCCACCACCTCCACCTCCTCCTCCAAGGGATCGTCCTCCTCGCCCATCTTCTACTCCTCCACCTCCTCCACCTCAACCACCACTTCCTCCACCACCAAGATTGGCCCGAACTCATCCTGCAACTCCTCAGCGTCCACCTGCTCGCCCATCTACTCGGCCGTCGCCAACGCAGTCGCCTCGTCCACCATCTCCTCCTCCACCTCCTCCACCTCCTCGCCCATCTACTCGGCCATCCCTAAGGCGGTCCCCTCGTCCACCATCTCCTCCTCCACCATTTCCACCTCCTCCACCGCCTCCTCCTCCACCTCCTCCTCCACCTCCTCCACCATCTCCGCCTCCACCTCCTCGCCCATCTACTCGACCATCCCCAAGGCGGTCCCCTCGTCCACCACCTCCTCCACCATTTCCACCTCCTCCTCCGTCACCTCCTCCACCATCTCCGCTTCCTCTGCCACCTCCTCGCCCATCTACTCGACAGTCGCCGAGGCGTTGCCGTGGTCCACCTCGTCGCCCATCTATGCCGTCGTCACCCGATCCTCCTCCTGCCGCGTCGCCCACAAAGCCGACGACGACGACGTGTCGGCTGCCCCGTCGAAGGTGAAGAACGTTGAGCGGGCCACGCCGGGGTCTCCCTTGGCGCCGGCAGCGCCGCCGAAGAAGCCGCCGCGCCGGGCGGTGGAGGACGCGGGGAAGGCCGGCGCCTCCGGCCGCGAGGAGCCGGGAGCTTTGGCGACGTACGCCGCCGTGAACCCGTCGGGGAGGAGGGGAGACGCCCGCTACAGGACCATCGCCGTCTGCTCCTCCGGTGAGTACCGGGACTCGAACCCTCGCCGGGGGAGCCTAGTAGGGTTTGGGCGAGGCGGCGATCGGGGTGGGGGGGGGGTGGGTTCACTGTTTGGCGACTTGCTCACGTGGTCGCCTGTAGTCCGGCGGCGCTGTGCAGGCAGCGGCGGCGGCGGCGGGGATTGGCGGATCGCCGCGCAGATTTATCGACCCCATGGGAGGGCGCGCGCTGCCGGAGCGCTCCCGGGCCCCTGCGCGTCGCGTCGCGATGGGGACAAAAGCAGGAAAAACTAAAACCGCCAGCGCTTCGTGCAGAACTGCATTGTGGTCCCAAACGAGTAATTTGCGGTCCGAATAAACCAAGCCACTCATGAGTGGTTAAATGGAAAAATTGAGAGAACATCGCCCCGACAAGGTATACTGGGACACCACCTCCCCCCCCACCCCACCCCACGTAACTCGCTCGGGCCCAGCGCCGAAAAGGCCACGTGGCACCGTCCCGTGAGGGCCATGCCGGCCGCAGGACGGAGGGCACTGATGACGGTGACTCTGACGACGGTGATGACACTGACGACGGTGACTCTGACGACGGTGATGACACTGACGACGGTGACGCTGACGACGACGACACTGACGACGACGACAGTGACACTGACGACGGTGACACTGACGACGACGACACTGACGACGGTGACTCTGACGACGACGGTGACTCTGACGACGACGGTGACACTGACGACAGTGACACTGACGATGACGACACTGACGATGACGGTGACACTGACGACGGTGACGACTCTGACGCCGGTGACACTGACGACGGTGACACTGACGATGACGGTGACTCTGACGATGACGACACTGACGACGGTGACACTGACGATGACGGTGACTCTGACGATGACGACACTGACGACGGTGACTCTGACGACGACGGTGACTCTGACGACGACGGCGACACTGACGACGGTGACTCTGACGACGACGGTGACTCTGACGACGACGGTGACACTGACGACGGTGACTCTGACGACGACGGCGACACTGACGACGGTGACTCTGACGACGACGGTGACACTGACGACGGTGACTCTGACGACGACGGTGACTCTGACGATGATGACACTAACGATGATGACACTGACGACGGTGACGACACTGACGACGGTGACGACACTAACGATGATGACACTGACGACGGCGGTGACACTGACGACGGTGACGACACTGACGACGGTGACTCGCCGCCAGATATCGCGACGTTGCGTGACAAGCTGGGAGCCGGCTCTTCCTCCCCCTTGCCGAGCCCCTCGTTGGCGGCGAGGGTGCGACACCGGGCCGCGTGCCGTGCCGAGCCGGGGGACCCCCCCGCCTCCTGCGCTGCGGAAACCCGGGGGGCCTCCACCGTGGGGGGCCCGGCGGCCCCCCGATCTGGGCCGCGCCAGCTGCTGTCGTCGCTGCGCTTGGACCTGATGGAGATGGTGACGGCGCGGATCGGCGCCCTGGGGCGGCACGGGAAGGCCGCGGCGGGAGCGCCGCCGCAGGCCGCAGAGCGTGAGTCTCACTCGCTCGCTCACTCGCTCGCTCGCTCGCCCATTCACTCGCTCGCTCGTTCATTCACTCGCTCGCTCGCTTGTCCATTCGCTCACTCGCTCGCTCATTCATTCACTCGCTCGCTCGCGCATTCACTCGCTCGCTCGTTTGTCCATTCGCTCACTCGCTCGCCCATTCGCTCGCTTACTCCCTCGCTCACACGCTCACTCACACACTCACACGTTCACTCACTCACACGCTCACTCACACACTCACACGTTCACTCACACACTCATTCACATGCTCACTCACACACTCACACGTTCACTCACACACTCACACGCTCACTCACACACTCACACGCTCACTCACACACTCACACGTTCACTCACACACTCACACGCTCACTCACACACTCACACGTTCACTCACACACTCACTCACATGCTCACTCACACACCCACACGTTCACTCACACACTCACTCACACGCTCACTCACACACTCACACGTTCACTCACACACTCATTCACATGCTCACTCACACACTCACACATTCACTCACACACTCACACATTCACTCACACGCTCACTCACACACTCACACGTTCACTCACACACTCACTCACATGCTCACTCACACACCCACACGTTCACTCACACACTCACTCACACGCTCACTCACACACTCACACGTTCACTCACACACTCACTCACATGCTCACTCACACACTCACACGTTCACTCACACACTCACACATTCACTCACACGCTCACTCACACACTCACACGTTCACTCACACACTCACTCACATGCTCACTCACACACCCACACGTTCACTCACACACTCACTCACACGCTCACTCACACACTCACTCACACACTCACTCACACACTCACTCACACACTCACACACTCACTCACACACTCACTCACACGCTCACTCACACACTCACACGTTCACTCACACACTCACTCACACACTCACTCACACACTCACTCACACACTCACACGTTCACTCACACACTCACACGTTCACTCACTCACATGCTCACTCACACACTCACACGTTCACTCACACACTCACACATTCACTCACACGCTCACTCACACACTCACACGTTCACTCACACACTCACACGTTCACTCACACACTCACTCACACGTTCACATCACACACTCACTCACACACTCACTCACACGCTTACTCCCTCGCTCACACACTCACTCACACACTCACTCACACACTCACACGTTCACTCACACGCTCACTCACACACTCACTCACACGCTCACTCACACACTCACTCACACGCTCACTCACACGCTCACTCACACATTCACACACTCACTCACTCACTCACACATTCACCCACACATTCACTCACACACTCACACATTCACTCACACACTCCCTCGCTCACACACTCACACATTCACTCACACACTCACACATTCACTCACTCACACACTCACACATTCACTCACACACTCACACGCTCACTCACACGCTCACTCACACACTCACACATTCACTCACACATTCATTCACTCACACATTCACTCACAGATTCACTCACTCACACACTCACACATTCACTCACTCACACATTCACTCACACACTCACTCACACACTCACACATTCACTCACACATTCATTCACTCACACATTCGCTCACACACTCGCTCACACACTCACTCACACACTCACTCACACACTCACTCACACATTCACTCACACACTCACTCACTCACACACTCACTCACACACTCACTCACACATTCACTCACTCACACATTCACTCACACACACACTCACACACTCACTCACACACTCACACATTCACTCACACACTCGCTCACACACTCACTCACACACACACTCACACACTCACTCACACGCTCACTCACACGCTCACTCACACGCTCACTCACACATTCACTCACACATTCACTCACATATTCACTCGCTCAACTCACACATTCACTCACACACTCACACGCTCACTCACACATTCACTCACTCACTCCCTCACACACTCACACATTCACTCACACACAACAACAACAACAACCGCCATTCGCCACTAAGTGGCGGTGACGTCACCACGATGCTTGTGCCAGGCCAAGTGCACCTTGAGGCCACGTGAAGTGTCGAAAGCCCGCTGGCAGGAGGTCACGGGGCAGACCCAGGTGCCACTGGTCGACTGACCGAGATGACCGAGATGACTGGCTGATGCACCACCTGTGCCCCCTACTGTGCCAACTTGCTGTGCTTTAGCCACCCGGCGCTCCGCTCGTTGTTGTGAGCGTCGCTCCTCCGCCCTCCGTTGTTGTTGGAGGGCGACTGCCTCCAACTGCCCAGTAGCGTCCTTCACGAGCCTCCTCCACTGAGGCCGATCTTGACACCGCTGGTACCAGTCATCGGCAAGTCCACTCAGCTCCACGTCCTCCTGTACCACATCACTCCATCTCTTCTCCAGCCCGTGCCGCGCCCGTCTAGCCCCCTCGATCCGGCCGAACAAAAGCTGTTTAGGCATGCGGTGGCTGGGCATGCGGGCTACATGACCCAGCCAACGCAGCCTTGCCTGCCGGAGGAGCTCACTGATGGGACTTTGCCCAGATCTTTCAAGGATTTGTGAGCTCCTCACACAATCCAGCCTGGTTAAACCCAGGATGGATCGTAGGCAGGCCAGCCTAAATGTTTCCAACCGGCGAAGATGCTCCACCAGGGGGGTCCACGTCTCGCAAGCGTAGAGAAGGGAGGGAATGACCGTGGCCGAGAAGACCTGAAGCTTCGTGCGGAGCGACAGACCAGGTAGCTTCCACACAGCGTTACGCAACCGATGAAAAGATATTGCCGCTCGACTGATTCGGAGTGAGACCTCTGCTGATAGACTGGAGCCGGTCATAAGCATACTGCCCAGGTATGGGAAACTCTCCACTCTCTCCACAACTGCCCCATCACCAATTGGGAGTTGTGGGGGTGGAGTGTCCGATGGTACAAAATACCCAGGCAGGTGCTTGGTTTTGGTGGGGCTGATGGTAAGGCCCCACCTCTTAGTGGCACGCTCCAGTCTCAGCAGCAGCGCCTCCAACTCCTCTTCTGAATGAGCAGCTATTACCAAATCATCGGCATACATAACGTGGTTGACCAATAGGGAGCCATCCCTTGATCGCACCCGGGCGTCGATCAGCCTCCCATTATATCTGTACCAAACGGAAATTCCCCCGGTACAGCTATTGAAGGCTTCACGAACTACGCGGTCAAAATAGATGTTAAATAATGTGGGAGCCAGAGGACATCCCTGTCGCACCCCAAGGTGTACAGGGAAAGGCTCCGACTCCCGGCCACGTAGTTTTACCCGGGCCCGCTCACCATCATGAAGGTCCTTAATGATCGTGAGCAGAGGGTCAGGGACTCCGAAAGCACGAAGAACAACCCAGAGTCCAGTCCTACTGATGGTATCATAGGCCTTGACCAGGTCAATAAAGCAGAGATGTAGGTCTTTTTGGAATTCCCTACACCTCTGCTGTAGCAGACGGACAGAAAATATGGCATCTGTGCAGGACCGCCCTTTCCTGAAACCGCATTGGGGCTCCGCAAGCCCCTCCTCAGCGTGCCTAGCAAGGCGATGTTGAATAATCCTTGCCAGGACCTTACCCGGCACACTGAGGAGTGAGATGCCCCTGTAGTTGTTACAGTCTGTGCGGTCCCCCTTCTTAAAGAGGGGGACCACCAGGGCATCCTTCCAGTCCTGCGGAACCCGTCCAGTGGTCCAGACTGTTGTTATGATGTCATATAGGGCAGTCTGTGCACAAACGCCACCCTCCCTCAGCATTTCGCTTGGGAGATCATCTCTGCCCGGTGCCTTCCCTGGTCTCAGACTCCGGATCGCCCTCAGTACTTCCTCAACAGCTGGAACCTCAGCCAGCCACTCACAGGGGGTGACCTCTTCCAATATTTGAGGCACCGCAGCCTCAGTAGGGTTATCCCCACTTTGTGCCATGATGTTTTCCTGGCTGAGAGAATTTCCCTCCCCCAGGACCTCACAGAAATGCTCAGAAAATCTGCAAACCTGTTCCTGGGGGTCGGAGATTGGATCACCGTTTTTTCCTCTAATGATGGTAATAGGTGTGGCGCTGCAGGTTACTTTTTTGATGGAGTTAAATAGTGATTTGTGATCACGGGCCACTGAGGCAGACTCCATCTCCTCAGCAACCCGCGACCACCACCCATCCTTACAACGCCTTACGGCTCTCCGAACTTCCGAGCGAAGGCTGCGGTAAACCTCCTCATTCTCTGACGTGGGATGCTGTAGGCGATGAGAGTGGGCCTGTCGCTTTTTCTCAATTAACCTGAACACCTCCTCTGTCAGCCAGGGTTTCTGGGGAGGTCTGGACCGCGTACCCAAAGCAGCCATTGCAGCTGCATGAGTCACAGTCTTAAACCTCGCCCATTTACCCTCGACATCAGGTGGAGTGGGGGACGATGCCAACCCCAGCTGCAAGCGATGATGAAATTCTCGCTTGCAACTTTCATCAGCTAACTGAGACCAGGCCACTTTTGGTTGGAATTGGATCCTGGGTGTACACCCACCACCGGAGTGGAAGAAAGGCAGGCGCATCTTACAGATGACTAGTCGATGGTCAGAGGACAGATCAGCTCCACGGTAGGTCCTGGTGTCAAGGACATGGGTTCGCATCCGCTGGTCCGTCACTATGTAGTCCAGCAGATGTTCTTGCTTGGACCCGGCATGTATCCATGATGTTGTGTGGATGCGCCGATGCCGGAAGAGCGTGTTGGTAATTACAAGCCCATGGGCTGCACAAAAATCTAGCAGCCTCCTACCGTTATTATTGAGCTGATCTGGCCCATGCCTTCCAATCACTCCAGACCAGGTGTCAGCATCATGACCAACTCGGGCATTGAAGTCACCCAACAAGATGACTCTGTCCCGAGTGGCCACTTTAGCCAGCACCTGTGACAGGAGGTCATAGAAAGCGTCTGACTCATCGGCTTTGCTTGCATCCCTCCACGGATGTTCGTCTTCGGTGGGGGCATAAGTAACCACGACCACCACTCCTCGCCTCTGGTTGATGGGAAGGCGAGCCCAAAGTATCCTGGGGCTTACAGCTTCCCACACCTCACCGCCACGCTCCCACGCCCCCTTCATTCTTTTGTTCAGAAGAAGAGCCACACCCTGTTGTTTGGCAGTCTCCTGCCCCGAGTAGAGGACTGTCCACCCCTCATGGTGGCAGGAGCCAGAACCGGTCCACCGGACCTCCTGAATGCCACAGAGATCCAGGCGGTACCGGTCCAGCTCCCGACAGAGGAGTGGCAGCCTCTCCTCCGCAGTGAGCGTTCGAACATTCCACGTGGCCATCCGCAATGGTTTTTTGTTGTTTCTGGAGGAGCCCCGAGGGTGAAAATTCAATCTCCTGGCTCCGCCAAATGGGGTTTGGCCAGGAGACGTCATAAAAGCCTGACCCCCCGGGGCCTCCGGCACAAGCTTATTTGTTACAGGTTTATGTTTAATTCGTGGTTTAGTGGTAATGAATTGAAGGTGGAGGGGTTACCAGCCCCTCACACCCGTCCAGAGCCCCCGTTTAGCCACTGTGGTGGTCACAGACGCCATGATGGGAGAGGCCAATGGGCATTGGCCCTCCCCCCACAGCAATGTCCACGACAGTGTTGCCCGTCCGGCACCGCGAGGAGGTAGGAGGTTGTTTTGCCGGACTACACACTCACACACTCACACATTCACTCACACATTCACTCACACGCTCACTCACTCACACACTCACTCACACGCTCACTCACACACTCACACGTTCACTCACACACTCACTCACACACTCACTCACACACTCACTCACACGCTCACTCACAGACTCACTCACACGCTCCCTCACACACTCACTCACACGCTCACTCACACACTCACACGTTCACTCACACACTCACTCACACACTCACTCACACACTCACTCACACGCTCACTCACACACTCACTCACACACTCACTCATACACACACTCACACACTCACACGTTCACTCACACACTCACTCACACACTCACACACTCATTCACACATTCACTCAAACACTCGCTCACACATTCACTCACACATTCACACACTCACTCACACACAAACTCACACACTCACTCACACGCTCACATCACACACTCACTCACACATTCACTCACTCACACGCTCACTCACACACTCACACATTCACTCACACACTCACTCACACATTCACTGACACACTCACTCACACACACACTCACACACTCACACATTCACTCACACACTCACACACACACTCACACATTCACTCACACATTCACCCACACACTCACACATTCACTCACACACTCACTCACACACTCACTCACACATTCACTCACACACTCACTCACACACTCACTCACACACTCACTCACACATTCACTCACACACTCACGCTCACTCACACACTCACTCACACACTCACACACTCACTCACACACTCACTGACACACTCACTCACACACACACTCACACACTCACACATTCACTCGCCCACTCAACTCACCACCCTGGTCCCCACCCCCACCAGGAGTGGCCCCCCTGCGGCCACCGCGCCCCCAGTCGGCGCGTCCCAGCGAGTGGCGCTGGTCACAGCCGGCGGAACTGTGGCACTCCATAGCGGCACCGCTACGCAGCCGCAAGCAGGGCACCGGCGGTGGTGGTGGTGCCGGTGGCGGTGGTGGCGGTGGTGGTGGCGGTGGTGGTGACGTGGTCCGGGCATCGTCGTTTAACCGCGCCGTGCGCGGGGCGTCCGTGGGTGAGTGGAGCGTGCCGGGGGGATGTGGTGCGGTTTGGTGTGGTGTGGTGCGGTGCGGTGTGGTGTTGTGTGGGGTGGTGCAGTGTGGTGTGGTGCGGTGCGGTGTGGTGCCGTGCAGTTGGTTGTAAATGTGGCGATACGCGGTTGTAGCCGAGTGGCTGCAGTTCATCGCTCCGGTTTGTTGCCGTTGAGGTTTGTGGTGGTGGTGGTGGTTGGTGTGGTTGCGATGGTGGTTGTGATGGTGAGGGTAATGCTGGGTTGCGGTTGTTGTTGCGATTGTGGTTTTGACGGTGATTGCGGCAGTGATTGTGATGGTGGTTGTGATGGTGAAGGACGCTACTGGGCAGTTGGAGGCAGTCGCCCTCCAACAACAACGGAGGGCGGAGGAGCGACGCTCACAACAACGAGCGGAGCGCCGGGTGGCTAAAGCACAGCAAGTTGGCACAGTAGGGGGCACAGGTGGTGCATCAGTCAGTCGTGTCAGTCATCTCAGTCTGTCGACCCGTGGCACCCGCTGGGTCTGCCCCGTGACCTCCTGCCAACTGGCGTTCGACACTTCACATGATGATCTTCAAGTGCACCTAGCCTGGCACAACCGCCTTGGTGACGTCACCGCCACTTAGTGGCGTATGGCGGTTGTTGTTGTGGTTGTTGATGGTAGTTGTGGTTGTGACGGTCATTGTGATGGTGGTTGCTGTTGCAGTTATGGCTGTGATTGTGACCATGTGACCTCCCCGTGACCCCTGTGACCTCCCCTTGACCCCGTGACCTCCGTTGTGACACCGAGCAGAGGGAGGGGTGGACACGGCACCCCCAGAGTCACCCCCTTCCCCAACCCTCCCAGAAAGGTGAGTGACTCGCAGAGACCCACAGACTCACCACACAGAGACCCATAGACTCACCACACAGAGACCCATAGACTCACCACACAGAGACCCATAGACTCACCACACAGAGACCCACAGACTCGCCCACACAGAGACCCACAGACTCACCACACAGAGACCCATAGACTCATCACACAGAGACCCATAGACTCATCACACAGAGACCCATAGACTCACACAGAGACCCATAGACTCATCACACAGAGACCCATAGAATCACCACACAGAGACCCACAGACTCACCACACAGAGACCCATAGACTCATCACAGAGACCCATAGACTCGCACAGAGACCCACAGACTCACCACACAGAGACCCATAGACTCATCACACAGAGACCCACAGACTCACCACACAGAGACCCATAGACTCATCACACAGAGACCCACAGACTCACCACACAGAGACCCACAGACTCACCACACAGAGACCCACAGACTCATCACACAGAGACCCATAGACTCATCACACAGAGACCCACAGACTCACCACACAGAGACCCACAGACTCATCACACAGAGACCCACAGACTCACCACACAGAGACCCATATACTCATCACACAGAGACCCACAGACTCATCACACAGAGACCCACAGACTCACCACATAGAGACCCATATACTCATCACACAGAGACCCACAGACTCATCACACAGAGACCCACAGACTCACCACACAGAGACCCATTGTGTGAGTGAGTCTATGGGTCTCTATGCGAGTCTATGTGTCTCTGTGTATCTCTACGTGTCTTTATATATCTCTATGAGTCTCTATGAGTCTCTATGTATCTCTATGTATCTCTATGTATCTCTATGTGTCTCTATGTATCTCTATGGGTCTCTATGTGTCTCTATGAGTCTCTATGTATCTCTATGAGTCTCTATATATCTCTATGTGTCTCTATGTGTCTCTATATATCTCTATGTGTCTCTATATATCTCTATGTATCTCTTGCCAGCCCCGGTGACTCCAGCCGCACTCCGTCTCCCGAACCGGATCCGGCTCCCGGCAGACAATCTCGCTACCTCCTCTCCGGTACCTTTTCATCCTCCTCCTCCTCCTCCCCCTTCCCCCCCCTTCCCCCTTCCCCCCCCTTCCCCCTCCCCCCTCCTCCCCTTCCCCCCTTCCCCTCCTCCTCCCCCACTCCTCCCCCTCCTCTTACCCCTCCCCCCTCCTCCCCCTCCCCCCTCCTCCCCCTCCCCCCTCCTCCCCCCTCCTCCTCCCCCTCCTCCTCCTCCCCCTCTCCCCCCCTCCTTCCCCTCCTCCCCCTCCTCCCCCTCCCCCCTCCTCCCCCCCCCTCCTCCCCCTCCCCCTCCTCCCCCCTTCCTCCCCCTCCCCCCTCCTCCCCCTCCCCCCTCCTCCCCCCTCCTCCTCCCCCTCCTCCTCCTCCCCCTCTCCCCCCCTCCTTCCCCTCCTCCCCCTCCTCCCCCTCCCCCCTCCTCCCCCCCCCTCCTCCCCCTCCCCCCTCCTCCCCCCTTCCTCCCCCTCCTCCCCCCCTCCCCCCTCCCCCTCCTCCCCCCTCCCCCTCCTCCTCCCCCCCTCCTCTTACCCCTCCCCCCTCCCCCCTCCTCCTCCCCCTCCTCCTCCTCCCCCCTCCCCCCTCTTACCCCCCTCCTCCTCCTCCTCCTCCTCCCCCTCCTCCTCCTCCCCCTCCTCCTCCCCCTCCACCCCCTCCTTCCCCCTCCTCCTTCCTGCCCTCTCCCCCTCCCCCCTTCTCTTCCCACTTCCCCCTCCTCCTCCCCCCTCCTCCTCCTCCCCCCTCCTCCTCCTCCTCCCCCTCCCCCCTCCTCCTCCCCCTCCCCCCTCCTCCTCATCCCTCCCCCATTCTCATCATTATCATCGTCGTCATAATCACCATCATCGTCGTCATTATCATCATCATCGTCGTCATCATCGTCATCATTATCATCATCGTCATTATCATCATCGTCATTATCATCATCGTCACCAACATCGTCATCGTCGTCATCATCATCGTCATCGTCGTCATCGTCGTCACCATCATCGTCATCATAATCAACATCGTCACCATCGTCACCGTCACCGTCACAATCCCCGCTGGCGCTACCACGCTCACCACCCCCCTCACCCCGCCCCCCGCCCAGAGCCGCTGTACCAGCGCTACCGCGAGACCACCGCCAGCCGGGAGATCGGGCGCCAGCGCCGCGCCCCGTCCTTCAACAAGCGCGACTCGGCGCGGCCCGGCACGGGCTCGGCACAGCCGACGGAACCGCCGCGACCCCTGCCGGAACCGCCCACGGGCCCACCGCCGGTGCTGCCGATACTGCCGGAGCCGCCGACGGTATCGGCAGCGCCGGCGTCGGCGGTATCGGCATCGGCGGTATCGGCATCGGCGGTATCGGCAGCGCCGGCGTCGGCGGTATCGGCGTCGGGGGTATCGGCATCGGCGGTATCGGCATCGGCGGCATCAGCGCCGGCATCGACGGCATCGACGGCACCGGCACTTTCACCGGCACCGGCATCGGCGGCACTTGCACCGGCACCGGCGCCATCGGCGGCTGCACCGGCGGTATCGGCGGTGGCGCCGACGGTGGTGATGGTGCCGGGTCCTGGCGCCACGTCGACGCTGTGGCAGGAGCTGGCGCACGTGCGGGAGAGCGGCCTGCTGGAGAAGCTCAGCAGCGACGACATCAAGCGGCAGGAGGTGGGTTGACGTGTGTGTGTGCGTGTGTGTGTGTGTTGACGTGTGTGTGTGTGCGTGTGTGTGTGTGCTTGTGTGCGTGTGTGTGTGTGCGTGTGTGCGTGTGTGTGCGTGTGCGTGCGCGTGCGTGTGTGTGTGTGTGCGTGTGTACGTGTGTGTGCGTGTGCGTGTGTGCGTGTGTGTGTGTGCGTGTGTGCGTGTGTGTGCGTGTGTGTGTGCGTGCGTGTACGTGTGTGTGTGCGTGTGTGTGTACGTGTGTGTGTGCGTGTGCGTGTGTGCGTGTGTGTGTGCGTGTGTGTGCGTGTGTGTGCGTGTGCGTGCATGTGCGTGTGTGTGTGTGCGTGTGTGTGTGCGTGTGTGTGCGTTTTGACGTACACGCGCGTGTGTGTGTGCGTGTGTGTTGACGTACACGTGTGTGTGCGTGTTGACCTACCCGTGCGCGTGTGTGTGTTGACGTACACGCGCGTGTGTGTGCGTGTGTGTGTGTGCGTGTGTGTGTGTGTGTGACGTACACGCGCGTGTGTGTGTTGACGTACACGTGTGTGTGCGTGCGTGTGTGTGCGTGTTGACCTACCTGTGCGTGTGTGTGTATGTTGACGTACACGTGTGTGTGTGTGTGTTGACGTACACGTGCGTACACGTGTGTGTGTGTGCGTGCGACGCAGGCGCTCTTTGAGCTGGTCATCTCGGAGGCGTCGTACCTGCGCAGCCTGTCGCTCGTCAGCGACGTCTTCCTCTCGTCGGCCGCCCTCGCCGCCGCGATGGAGCCTCGCGACCACCGCGTCCTCTTCTCCAACCTCGCCGAGGTCAAGGAGGCCAGCGCCAGGTCAGAGGTCGCGGCCGGGGTCGGGTGAAGGGGTCGCGGCTGGGTCAGGTGAAGGGGTCATGGCTGGGGTCAGGTGAAGGGGTCGTGGTCAGGTGAAGGGGTCGTGGCCAGGGGTCAGGTGAAGGGGTCGTGGTCAGGTGAAGGGGTCGTGGCCTGGGGTCGGGTGAAGGGGTCGTGGTCAGGTGAAGGGGTCGTGGTCAGGTGAAGGGGTCGTGGCCTGGGGTCGGGTGAAGGGGTCGTGGTCAGGTCAAGGGGTCGTGGCCTGGGGTCAGGTGAAGGGGTCGTGGTCAGGTCAAGGGGTCGTGGCCTGGGGTCAGGTGAAGGGGTCGCGGCTGGGATCGGGTGAAGGGGTCGTGGCTGGGGTCAGGTGAAGGGGTCACGGCTGGGGTCAGGTGAAGGGGTCACGGCCGGGGGTCAGGTGAAGGGGTCGCGGTCAGGTGAAGGGGTCGTGGCTGGGGTCAGGTGAAGGGGTCACAGCCGGGGTCAGGCGAGGTCACGGCCTGGGGTCAAGCGAGCTCGATAAAGTGGTCCCCACTTCTTCAGCTAGTGAGCCGCTCACCTTGTGCGCGTGTGTGCGTGCGCGTGTGTGTGTGTGTGCGTGTGTGTGTGCGCGTGTGTGTGTGCGTGCGCGTGTGTGTGTGTTGTGCGTGTGTGTGTGTGTGTGCGTGTGTGCGTGCGCGTGTGTGTGTGCGTGCACGTGTGTGTGTGTGTGTGTGTGCGTGTGCGTGCGCGTGTGTGTGTGTGCGTGTGTGCGTGTGTGTGTGCGTGTGTGTGCGTGTGCGTGTGCGTGCGCGTGTGTGTGTGTGCGTGTGTGTGTGCGCGCATTTGTGCGTGTGTGTGTGTGCGCGTGTGCGTGTGTGTGTGTGCGTGTGTGTGTGTGTGTGCGTGTGTGTGCACGTGTGTGCGCGTGCGTGTGCGCGTGTGCGCGTGCGTGTGTGTGCGTGTGTGTGTGTGCGCGTGTGTGTGTGTGTGCGTGTGTGCGCGTGTGTGCGTGCGTGTGTGTGCGTGTGTGTGTGCGTGTGTGTGCGTGTGTGCTCGTTAAACATTTAGGCTGGCCTGCCTACGATCCATCCTGGGTTTAACCAGGCTGGATTGTGTGAGGAGCTCACAAATCCTTGAAAGATCTGGGCAAAGTCCCATCAGTGAGCTCCTCCGGCAGGCAAGGCTGCGTTGGCTGGGTCATGTAGCCCGCATGCCCAGCCACCGCATGCCTAAACAGCTTTTGTTCGGCCGGATCGAGGGGGCTAGACGGGCGCGGCACGGGCTGGAGAAGAGATGGAGTGATGTGGTACAGGAGGACGTGGAGCTGAGTGGACTTGCCGATGACTGGTACCAGCGGTGTCAAGATCGGCCTCAGTGGAGGAGGCTCGTGAAGGACGCTACTGGGCAGTTGGAGGCAGTCGCCCTCCAACAACAACGGAGGGCGGAGGAGCGACGCTCACAACAACGAGCGGAGCGCCGGGTGGCTAAAGCACAGCAAGTTGGCACAGTAGGGGGCACAGGTGGTGCATCAGCCAGTCATCTCGGTCATCTCGGTCAGTCGACCAGTGGCACCTGGGTCTGCCCCGTGACCTCCTGCCAGCGGGCTTTCGACACTTCACGTGGCCTCAAGGTGCACTTGGCCTGGCACAAGCATCGTGGTGACGTCACCGCCACTTAGTGGCGAATGGCGGTTGTTGTTGTTGTTGTTGTGTGTGCTCGTGCGATGAGCAGGTTCCTGCTCGAGCTGGAGGACCGTGTGGACGAGTCTCCGCTCATCGCTGACGTGTGCGACATCGTGCTGAGCCACGCGCAGCGCGGGTTCCGTGCGTACGTCCCCTACGTGACCAACCAGCCCTACCAGGAGCAGGTCTACCAGCGCCTCATGTGAGCCACCGTCACCGTCAGCGTCATCATCAGCAGCAGCATCATCAGCATCATCAGCAGCATCATCATCATTAGCATCATCATCATTAGCATCATCAGCAGCATCATCAGCATCATCAGCAGCATCAGCAGCATCATAAGCAGCATCAGCAGCATCATCATCAGCACCAGCCCTACCAAGATCAGGTCAACCACCACCATCATCATCATCAGCTCCATCATCATCATCATCAGCTCCATCATCAGTATCAGCACCATCAACATCGTTACCCCCCCCACCCACCCCTCCACCTACCCAAAGTCCCACCCACCCACCGCACCCACCGCACCCCCCCACCCCCCCACCCACCCACCCACCCCCCCAACCCCCCCCACCAACCCCCCACCTCCCTGCCCCACCACCCACCCCCACCCTCCCACCCCCTCACCCACCTCACCCCCCACCAACCCCCCACCTCCCACCTCCCCAACCCTCCCCACACCCCCCCAACCCACCCCCCACCCACACCCCCAACTCACCCGTCTCACCCCCCCACCAACCCCCATATACCCCCCCACCCCCCCCAACCCCCCCACCCCTTCCCCCCCCACCCCCTCACCCCCCTGCCCCACCACCCACCCCCTCTCCCACCTCCCCCACCCACCCACCTCACCCTCACACACCCTCACCCACCTCCCCCCCCCAAACCCACCCCCCCACCCACCCCCCCTCTCACCACCCCCCCACCAACCCCCCCACCCCACTCCCACCCCACCCCTCCACCCACCCCCCCCACCCCCCCCCCCACCCCCCCCACCCCCCCCACCCCCCACCCCCGGCGTGCAGGCAGGAGAGTGCACACTTTGTGAGTGTGGTGTCGCGCCTGATGGAGGACCGCCGCTGTGAGCGCCTCCCGTTCACCTCGTTCCTGATTCTGCCCTTCCAGAGGATCACGCGCCTCAAGCTGCTCGTCGAGGTGACACACCTGAGGATGTGTCACCTGTGGATGTGTCACCTGTGGATGTGTCACCTGTAGATGTGTCACCTGTGGGTGTGTCACCTGTGGATGTATCACCTCCAGATGTGTCACCTGTGGATGTGTCACCTGTAGATGTGTCACCTGTGGATGTGTCACCTGTGGATGTGTCACCTGTGGATGCCTCACCTGTGGATGTGTCACCTGTGGATGTGTCACCTGTGGATGTGTCACCTGTAGATGCATCACCTGTAGATGTGTCACCTGTAGATGCCTCAACTGTGGATGTGTCACCTGTGGATGTGTCACCTGTGGATGCCTCACCTGTGGATGTGTCACCTGCGGATGTGTCACCTGTGGATGTGTCACCTGTAGATGCCTCACCTGTAAATGTGTCACCTGCGGATGTGTCACCTGCGGATGTGTCACCTGTGGATGTGTCACCTGTGGATGTGCCACCTGTGGATGTGTCACCTGTGGATGCCTCATCTGTGGATGTGTCACCTGTGGATGTGTCACCTGTAGATGTCACCTCCAAATGTGTCACCTGTAGATGTGTCACGTGAGGATGTGTCACCTGTGGATGTGTCACCTGAGGATGTGTCACCTGTGGATGTGTCACCTGTGGATGTGTCACCTCCAGATGTGTCACCTGTGGATGTGTCACCTGTGGATGCGTCAACTGTGGATGTGTCACCTGTGGATGTGTCACCTGTAGATGTGTCACCTGTGGATGTGTCACCTGTAGATGTGTCACCTGTGGATGTGTCACCTGCGGATGTGTCACCTGTGGATGTGTCACCTGTGGATGCGTCAACTGTGGATGTGTCACCTGTGGATGTGTCACCTGTGGATGTGTCACCTGTGGATGCCTCACCTGTGGGTGTGTCACCTGTGGATGTGTCACCTCCAGATGTGTCACCTGTGGATGTGTCACCTGTGGATGCGTCAACTGTGGATGTGTCACCTGTGGATGTGTCACCTGTAGATGTGTCACCTGTGGATGTGTCACCTGCGGATGTGTCACCTGTGGATGTGTCACCTGTGGATGCGTCAACTGTGGATGTGTCACCTGTGGATGTGTCACCTGTGGATGCCTCACCTGTGGGTGTGTCACCTGTGAATGTGTCACCTCCAGATGTGTCACCTGTGGATGCGTCAACTGTGGATGTGTCACCTGTGGATGTGTCACCTGTGGATGTGTCACCTGTGGGTGTGTCACCTGTGGATGTGTCACCTCCAGATGTGTCACCTGTGGATGTGTCACCTCCAGATGTGTCACCTGTGGATGTGTCACCTGTGGATGTGCCACCTGTGGATGTGTCACCTGGGGATGTGTCACCTGTGGATGCCTCACCTGTGGATGTGTCACCTGCGGATGTGTCACCTGTGGATGTGCACCTGTATGCCTCACCTGTAAATGTTCACCTGCGGATGTTCATCTGTGGATGTGCCACCTGTGGATGTGTCACCTGT